TAGGCCCCTATTATATGGAGCCCCTCTGGCATGCAGGTGCCCTGTTGCCGCATTAAACTCTGCAACCCAGACCCCCTATCCTTGAACCCCCTCATCCTCCTGACTTATAAACCCTAAACGGTTTAGGGTTTAGGGTTTAGGGTTTAGGGTAGCCCTAAACCCTATAACCCTATAAACCCGAAACCCCCTAAACCCTAAACCCTACAAACCCTATAAACCCTATAAACCCTAGAAGCCTTAAACCCCAAACCCTATAAACCCGAGACCCTATAAACCCCAGAATCCCTAAACCCTAAAAACCCGAAACCCTGAGGAAAACATGCTGAGCCAACCTCGATGCGTTGGGCTGCGCCCTTTTGTCCCGGCCTCTTCGGGTAACGGTCTGCTTTTGAGTCGTTCTCGAAGTTTTCTGGTCCAGTTTAGGGTTTAGGGCTTAGGGCTTAGGGTTTAGGGTCTTAGGGTTTGAGTAGTTCTCTAAGTTTTCTGGTCCAGTTTAGGGTTTAGGGCTTTAGGGTTTAGGGTTTAGGGCTTAGGGCTTAGGGTTTAGGGCTTAGGGTTTTAGGGTTTTAGTAGTTCTCTAAATCATCATTAGGGTCCCTTCAAAGGGATCCTTAAAAGGGATGTCTGAAGGCTCCGGGGTACTACAAGGCTAGCTCCCTGAATTAGGGTCCCTTTTAGGGTCCTTCTTACTAGGGTGCCGTACTACTTGACTTGGGGACACAAAGAACGGATGCAAATGTAGAGAACTACACATATTTGGGTCGCCATGGTGTTCGACAGAATCCATGGACCTTCGGAGGTTTCAGAAGGAGCTGGGTCCTGATACTCCAACCCAGACAGCCGGAATGTCAGATGCATGGGCAAACCACATGCAGTCCCTAAACCCTAAACCGGTGCGTCGAACCCAAATCCTAGCAACATTCAGCGCACGCGTGCGAATGTGAGACAGGTTTGGCTGTTGTGCCAGCAGCTGCTGTTGTTGTTGTCCTTCTCATACTCAGTCTCACTACTAATTCCAGCTCCACTATCATTATTATGACTGATTAAACCCTAAACCCTAAACCCTACTGTTGTGATTGCCGGAATGGTGACACAAGCCTAACTGAAACCCACATCCTGAACAGTGAAACTTGGACCCTGGACTGGAAGCTTGAACCCTAAACGACAAAAGCTAAACCTAAAATTTGGGTTTAGGGTTAAGGATGTAGGGTCTAGGGTTTAGGGTTAGGGGTTTAGGGTCGAGCGTGTCGGGTTTAGGGTTTAGGGTATGAAAACAGCAGGACTAAGACTAAGCCCTCTAAGCACCTTACTGTAGAAGCCTAACTGGTTAATTACCAACACTACTCCTTAGGATTCCTCATTATAGCTGGACCCAAAACCCCATTCCAATCATTAAGGACCCTATAGTAAAACAGGAGCGGCTCCTGGTGGCCCAAACCGCTGCGCGGCCGTCATGGGTTTCCAGGGGAGAGAGAAGGCTTACAGAATACGAGATGGCACACGGTTTAGGGTTTAGGGTTGATGTCATCCGGTAGCAGTTCTTACATGATTGCACTAGGCAGGAGTGGTGTGTAACGGCTCTTTCAATCCTCGGCAGGAGGCTATGAGGGTTCAGCATGCTTAAGCTTTGCTTTGTTTCGGCTTCAGATTCTTCAGGATTTCGTGGCTTACTGCTGCGGGCTTCGCGGTTTTCAGCGGCTTCTGCGAGCGATTTCTCAAAGGCGCTTCTACAAAGGTTGCAGAAAGCTTGGGCACCGCAGGGTCGAGTCTAGGGTTTAGGTAGCTGGGGCTGGGGGCATTAATGGATGAGGGTATCTACTTGGGCGGTTAAGGACGTGATGAGAAACGGGCCGCGGTGCATGTAGTTCAGGCTGGCGGCTCCATTGGTGGCAAAGCTGCTGTCATCACTTTTATCACCACGATGACAATCACCACATTGCAGCACCATCATGCTCATGGTGATCGTCAAATCGTCACTGTCAGTGACATCCTCGTCATCAGCGCGTTTCCTCCACTAGGGTTTAGGGGTGGTGTTATGTTTTTGATGTTTGCGTTTCTGGGGCGTCCTCGCTGCATGTGGCCATGCAAGAAGAGGAACACGAGAAGCCTAAACTAGGGGACTTAGCTGCTAGATGGGGCTCAACTTATGACAATATTTTTCACGGACCGCAACGGGCTACTATTCGACACTATTGCCCATAAGTCAGATCCTGCAAATTGAAAAGTGTTCCGAAATGCCACCTTAAAACTAAAAGTCAATGAGAAATTTGAATTTCATGGAAAGTCAAGGTGCTGTCGATTTGTGCAGGGGTGTGCGAAAAGGGAGCATCTGTGCGGCGATGGCACTCGTGCCTTGCACTGTTAAACCCCAAACCCTAAACCCGAAGGCCCTAAACCCAAAAACCCCAAACCAAAAGCCCTAAACCCAAGAACCCTAAACCCAAAAGCCCGAAACCCCAAAAACCCGAAAAGCCCCAAACCCTAAAGCCCTAAACCCAAAACCCCAAAAACCCTAAAAGCCCTAAACCCTAAAGCCCTAAACCCTAGAACACCGAGGCCGTTTAAGGGTGAGAGAGCTTCGGGTGTTAGGGATGTAAGGCCGGCGGGATCCTAGGCATTTCGCTGAAGGGCTTAAGGGTTTAGGGCTCTAGGGGTTTAGGGGTTAGGGTTTAGGGCTTAGGGTTTAGGGTTTAGGGTTTAGGGTTTAGGGTTTAGGGTTTAGGGTTTAGGGTTTAGGGCTCTAGGGGTTTAGGGGTTTCGGGTTATTTTTAAGGACTTTAGGAGGGACCCCTAATAGGGACCCTTAATCCCATTATACCTGAAATAACCAATGTATAGTCCTTATATACCCCTTACATAGCCAGGTAGTCTCCCTGTTAACCCCAATAGCCTACAAGGGTCCCTATTGAGGGTCCCTCCTAAAGCCCCTAGAGTT